CCTTTAAACTTGCCCCAGCTGCTGCAGTTGGACCCTGAGCGGCAGGCTCACTGCTGGGACCTGAACTTGCTTCTCTCATTGAGGAGGCTGTGCTGAGTGTCCAAGCCTGTGGGGAGAGCTTCAGGAGGAGGTAAGTCTGTAGGGGTGGGGCTGTTTAACCAGATTCCCTGCTACTACTTGGATACTTGGGAACTCACATGTGACACGTCCCCTGGGGACAAAAAACTGGACTGAAGTAGAAGAGACAGCCCTGGATGTCCACAAGGACATCCTACCTGGGGAGGCTGTAGAAGCCTACATTGAACAGACACTGCTGACTGGGGAGACTACTGACCACGTACAGGTGGATAAAGAGGCCCCACGGGAAGTGTACTGATGAGTAGAAGATACGGGAGCAAATGGATTCATTCTCTGTAAACCAGGAGAGGGACACAGGTCACTTCAGTCTGAGGGGTGTAGTGTGAGGATGGGCGGGGATGAGGTGGAGGCAGAGAGAGGGTTCAGGGTACAGCTGAGCCTACCCTTTCAGTCACAGGGAGCCTGCCCTTGAAAGGGCTCACAGGGTTTAGACAGGGGTATCTAGGTATTAGGATGCTGTGATGAAATGGGCTTAGCCATGAAAATGATCAGTTGGGCTCCTTCCCTTTTACCCACTCTTCCTTGAGTGAGGCTGGAAATTACCCAAACCTCCACCGCCCAGATCCTCTTAGCTCTCTGCTTCCTGCCCAGTAGTGGTTTCTCTCACTCCAGGAAAGTTGTTTTTTCTGGATTCTGCAAGGACAGGAATGGCAATTAACATCAGGCAACAGAGGGCTTGGGTTTCCCCTAAGTGGTGTGCATTGTTCCTCTTGTAGTGGAAACACAAGTCTTTCACCCAAGTCATCCTACATCTCATGGTGGCCCCTGCCCAGGACTTTCCATAAAGATGATGGCAGTGCACGGACTCCACATCTGTACTTCACAGACAGGTTCAGCTGGGCAGAGTGGCTGGATTTCCACAGGAAGTTTCAGTGAATGCTGTTTTCCACTTTTATTTGCATAAAGCTTATTTATTTGAGTAGCAGAGTGACACAGGAGGGAGATAGTGAGGGCTTGACAAGCAATGGAAGAAGGAGAGAGGGAGAAAAGCGAGAGGGAGAGAGGCGAAGGGAGAGACGGAGAGGGAGAGAGAGAGAAAGAAAGGGAGGGAGAGGTGGAGGAAGGGAGAGAGATATCGATATCTTCTATCCCCTGTTACTCCCCAATGTCTGAAATAATCAGAGCTAGGCAAGGTCAAAGCCAGGAACCCAGAACACTGCCAGAGTCTCCAACAAAGGACAGGAATTCATGTGCTATGTCTTCATTTTCTGCCTCCCTTCTCACATTAGCAAGAAGCTGGATCAGAAGTACAGTTTGCCAGGGCTAGAGCAAGCTCCAATATGGGATGTGGACATGCCAAGTTGCAGCTTAACTCACTGTGCCAAAAAAACCACACCTGTTTTTATATTAAAGAATGGAGAGCAGCAGTTAGGAAGGTTATGTTCAATCTGAAGACACGGGTCCTGATCCTCAGACGCAGGTGCACTGTGCCTGTTGTCATTTACTGGGCTCTGTGTGGTTCCTGGTCAGAGATGTCTTCCAGTACATATTGCCCCCCCCAACTCCCTGACTCAAGCCTACTCCTCAAGCCTTCGCTTTCCATCACTGAGAGCATAAAGAACGATCCCAGAGAGTCACCATTTCCCTCAACCAATTCTGATCTGACCCTTTAGAAACTACGAAATCCCGGACACCTCCCAGACAGCCCTACCAGTCACCACCCTGTGGACTTTCCTACCCTATGCAGCCATCACTGATTGTATAAGGACACCATCTCAAGGGACCAACATCCTCCTAGCAGTCCTGTTCTTGGGGAACACAGCTTCTAGAGTGGCCAGAGGGACCACCAGGTCCTGCAACCAGGGGCGGCCAATATATGCTCCCTGTGGTTTCGGCAGGGCCCTCTGAAGAGGAGTACCACCTGCTAGCAGGATGACGTTATCCTCAGAGATGACAAGGTTATGCTCATGAATCACAAGGCCATGGTAGGGAGAGGTTTCTTCCCAGACCTTTGACCTTCTTGTGCTAGGGTTTAAGGGAAGGGTTCCACTAAGAAGTGTCAGCTAAAGAAGCCTAAGGTGGGGTCTGTGTTCAGAGTTGTGAATCAGCTGGCTTTACCTAGGCCGGGTGGGCACGTGGCACCACAGCTGTATAAGTCCCCCAGCCTGCTGTGGAGTACTGAGGGGCCCAGTGCCACTAGGGAGGCAAAGCTGATCCAGGTGTTGGGAGACACCTATAGAACTAGGAGTCACCCTGTGTGACTCTAGGGGCAGTGAGAACTCATTGTTCCATCCTGGCAATGAAGGGTATTTGAGAATTGCTATTCGAGAAGGGTATTGAGAATTGGTTCCCCTATTCCATTCACCCTTCTCCTTTGTCTCCACAGCATCTCCAGGGCTGGGAACAGCCATGATCCCTCACCCAGGCACCGCCCCGTCTCTCGTCATGCTGCTGCCCTTTCCCCAACCAACTCACGGCCCTGCACCCCAGCCACCCTGGGGGCAGCCCCATCCACCCCTCCTGAATGTGGCATTCCCTCCAGGCAGCCGCCTCGTACTGCCTGCTGCCATCCCCAGCATGCCCGCGGTGGCTGGAGATGGTGGCTGCGGCCCAAATGGGGCTGGGAACGTCCACCTATTACTCCAGTTGAGGACAGGAGGGCAGCCAGTGGAGCCCCTCCACTCTCAGACCTTGGTCTACAACCAAACCCATATCAGCCTGAATGCCCCAGAGGGGTTCTGTGGGGCAGGGCAGAACCCTGCTCCCATAGCAGTGCCTGGGTCTTCCCTGCAGGCAACAGTGCCTGCACCTACCATGGCGGGAACCCACGCCAGTCAGGGGGGCTGGCTTCTGGGACACCCTCCTCCAGCTCCACCACCAGCTGCCCAGCTGGCCCCTATGGTCTTCCCAGTTAACAACGGGCCACCACCACAAGGGGCAGACAGGGAGCGCATCCTGCCTACTCCCAAGGCCCAAGCCTCACCAGACAACCCATACAACTCCACCAGCGTCTACGAGAACTTCCGGCGCTGGCAGCACTTCAAGGCCCTGGCCCGGAGGCTCCTGCCCCAGAGCCCTGACACAGAAGCTCTGTCCTGCTTCCTCATGTGAGCACCCATGCCCAGGGACTGGGCAGTGTATTGGGAGGATCAGGGGTGGGCAACGCAGGCTATAAGGCCTCCCACAGGAAGACTGTGAAGGCAATCGAGAGACCACATGCAATTCCATTGTCAGCCATGCTACCTCATGCTGTGTGTGACACGATTCCAGGGCCTTTCCCCACTGGATCTTAGCTATCCTGTGATAACATTTACATTTCCACCATTTCCAGGGTGACCCTTACAGAACACTCAAGGTCAGAGCGGGTCCTGGGATCACAAGAGCCACCACTGGGGTCTGAGTCTGAGTCCACACAGCAATCCCTGTCCACCACCGGCATCGTACACAGAGGGTCACAGACCTCAGGGACTTGATGTGAGGGGCGATAAGGAGGGAAGTCTTATACACAGCCCAACCTTCATTCTTCCCGGGACTTCCAGGAAGACAGAAGGTGGTCGGGAACTCACCCAGGGCCACACTGGGGCCCCAACACGAGGGTCTGTCTCGGGCCAGCACTGACATCACAGCCCAGAGCCCTCATAGGGGAGGAGACGCTCGCACCCATTCCCAGGGAGCTAAAGGTCACTGCAGCTGAACCTGCTGAGCTTCGCACAGGCCAGGCACACGCTCTGTCTCAGGAAACGACTGCGGTCATGCCATCATGAGGAAAAGACAATGTGGTCAGGAACACAGCCACAGCCCAAACACCACGGTCCAGGCTGTGACCGGACTCTGAGCCCCTAAGGCAAGAACGCAGGCCACTGTCTGGGCCTGCTGGGGACCAAACCAGAGGGAGCCTTCACCGCAGTGGCATACTCCCCTTTCTTGACCACTCGGGCCCGGCTCCTCCTGTCTACCACCATCACGACAGACACAGCCACCTTCCACTGAGCAGGGCACTGCGTCCATGTCGCACCCACCTCTGACCTCCCGGCCGCATCATCACTCAGCCTGCAGCTGAAAGCAGTCTCCACGCCTTGGTGTTGACGTCTCCATCTCCCTGCCGCTCTGGACACTCAGCATTGCCCAGGAGGCACATCACCCCCAACTCAGTCCCCATGCACTGAGCTTGGTCCCCTAATCAGGGCACAGCCTGCATGGCTCCCTTCCTTCTCCCCACTCCCAGGAGCTCTGAGGTCCCAACTCCAGTGCGGCCTCTGGCCAGCAACTATAAAGCAGGTTACACGCTCAGCCCTGGGGCCAGGAACACGCACCAGAGCCCTGGCACCCAGGTCAGATCATTCTGTGTGCTTCTCCCTTTGGGCTGCACTGCACAAGGCCACACACTGGACAGTTTCAGCCACAGATGTTCATGTGTCACGTCTGGAGGCTGGAAGACTGAGCACAGGACATGGCTGGATTCAGATTCCGGTGAGGCTGCTCTTCCTGAGACAGGACCTTCCCACTGTCTTCATTTGAGAGTCAAGCTATGGCGAGTCTTGCTTCTCCTCTAAGGACACCAGTACTATCACGGGAGCTGCAGCCTTAGCACCTCTCCTAACCCTAACTGCACCACAGACACCACCTCAGACCCCATCACACTGAGGATTAGGACTTGCACACATGTATTTACGGGATACAAGCATCCAATTCATGCTGCACAGTGACACTGAAGCTGCAAAAGGAAGACAGAGAGGCCAGCACAGCCCTGGGAGTGGGTATCCCCCAGATGAGAGGTGGCCAGGAGGCTGGAGAGCCCACACTGGAGGAGGACACGACAGGGACAGAGGGAAAGGGAGACCCCAGCACAGTAGTCAGAGCCCTGAGCTCAGGTGGCAGGGTGGGCTTGTGCATTTTCACTGACTCCGGGGAATTAATTCCAGCCCCGTGCTGCGGACCCTGGCCCAGCGGAGGCCCACCATGCCGCTGGAGGAGGGCCTGCGGTTTGCCTTGCGGGAATGGCAGCACAAGAGCAACTTCGACCGCATGATCTTCTACGAGATGGCAGAAAAGTGAGTTGGGAGTCCGGGTCCCGGTGCTGTGTGGTGGAGGAGGCTGGGAAGGGAGGCTGGGCCTGAGGGGCTGGACGTGTGAGCACATGTACGCCGTTCCTTGGAACAGGCCCTCCGTGGGCCCTGCTCTCCCAGGATACTGCCCCACCACCTGGATGTAGGGTTCTAGGCACTCTCCTCCCCGGGAGTCCTCCCCATCTGTGTCTGAGCTACCGAGGCTCTGACGTTCAAGGTTGAGGTGGAGCAGCCAGGGCAGCCCTTGTGGTTCCTCCCACCACGAGGACTCTGCACACGGCACGACCTCCTTCGGAGCTTCTGCCTCACACCCTGGAGGGGGGGCTGTGGACAGATGTGTTGTCACGGTGAAGCGCCATCCCAGAATGTGCTGCAACCCAGAGTGTGTCCTCAGGGATCTGGTGTCTCGGACACACGGCCCTGTCTGCATTTCTGCCGGTTCATGCAGTATGATAAGTTGAAACACACAGCACTCAGAGGCCATGCCCACCTCTCAGCCAGGCCTCCCATCCTCCAGCCTGCCCCTGGACCCTAATCCCTGCTCCCCCTACAAGGGTCACAGTCTCGGGCTCAGGATCTTTGATTCTGAACTAGGACCCAAAAGCGCTTGTGATCAATGTCCTTTTGCGCAGCCTCTGGAGTCAGCCCTACTTGGGGCTCTGTGTGGGGCCAGACCAGGCATGGAAGTGGTGAGATCTGCTGTGCCTCTGTTAACTGGGCCTGCAGGGGATCAGAGACACATGTCACCTGCCCGTGCAGGGCAGAACAGAGCACTGTTCCCAGCATGTTTTACCCCTGTGGGACTGACCAGACTTGGGCCTCGCTGAGCCCAAGGGACACGTGCATGTGTCCGCCACCAGCTGCCACCAGAATGCTGTCAGGACGTGGGCCCCTCACGTTTGGCCTGTGTCCCCCACGCTCAGGTTCATGGAGTTTGAGGAAGAGGAGGAGATTCAGATGCAGAAGCTGGAGTGGATGAAGGGGAAACCTTGCCAGCCCCCACTGGTCTCACCAGCACTGCTTCCTCAAGGGCCCCCAGCCCCTGTGGCTGTCCAGCAGCCAGGTACAGTCTCCCGTGTCCCAACACAGTCCGTGGCAGAGGCCAACGCAACCCCAGGATTTGCTGTCCCCTCGTCTGGGCCTTTCCTTCAAGAGCAGCATGTGTTCCCTTGTGCAGAATGTCCACGGGCAGCCCAGGGGCCCACATGCTTTGGGCCATTACCTGGGGATTTTTTCATGCCTCAGTCCTAGTGCCTCTCATCCCTTAGCTTCCCAAGGAGCCAGCAAACTACCAGGATGGGGTCTGGAGATAAGAACACAGAGTGCTGGTGACAGATGTTCCACCTCTCGGCCCCATCTCCTCTCTCGGATGCTTTTGTCAGCTTCTCCTGGCCCAGCGTGACCACTCATGTCCTCCAACAACTGTCCACCCCACTGCAGCTGACATGACGCTGGAGCCCCTGCACTCACACCATGTTCCCATCCACAGGGTGTGCCCCCAGGAAGGCCAGCTCCAAGGCCCTGCCTGCCTGTCCAGTGCCACCCAGACACCAGGGGCCTCAGGACAAGACACCTAAGGAGATCCCACCAGAGGCCGTGAAGGAGTACATGGAAATCATGGACACGTTGCTGGGGCCAACACCCTTGTCCTTGGAGCCTCCCGATGGCCACCCAGAAGAGGACAGAGATGAAGGCTTCCTGGAGAATGAGGGGTCATACCCGGACCCGGAAATGCTGTCCTACATTGACCATCTATGCTCCCAGGTGGATTTTGTCACCAAGGTGGGTTGGGGTGCAGCACTGGGATGCAAGATCCAAAAAATGACCCTGCCAGGCCCTTAAGCCAAATGCAAGTTCTTCACCACTGCCTTTGTGTTCCTCAGTGAGGGAGGGAGGGAGGGAGTGAAGCTGACTGCCCACTGATGTACACCCCAGAGTGTGAACAGTGATGGGGCCGTCATTGCTCTCTGGTTCTGTTCAAGTTCCCATCATCTCAGGTGCTTCATGCAAGGATGATCATGGACATCTTGCATCTCTTCTAGGCGGAGGCCATCATTCACCCCAGATTCCTGGAAGAACTGCTTTCCCCAGATCCACAGCTGGACCTCACGGCCCTGCCCAAGGAGCTGGAGAAGGAGGAAGGGCTGACTGCTGACCAGGTAAAGGACAGAAGGTGGTCAGCAGGTAGAGCAGGCATAGCATGTAGACAGGGCAGAGAGGGGAACCAGGAAAGCAGGGGATTGGGGGCAGCATGCAGACAGGGCAGGGAGGGGCACTAGGAAACCAGGGGTTTTGGGACAGCAGGTAGACAGGACAAGGAGGGGCACCTAGGTAGACTGGTGGTAGAAGTGGGGACCCCAGCATGGCAGACCCAGATCATTTTGTCTCCCCCTACTCTGCTGGGGAAAAATGACTTCTTGAGGAGCTGCTTCGGGTGGGGTGCAGGTGCACACATGTGTTAAGGAGACAGAAGAGCCAGTTCCAGGTTAGGGTACAGGGCTAGAATGAGGCCCAAGTGGGTGGAGGCAGAACCCCTCACACTAATGGGACCAGCCCAGAGACTCAGGCCTTTCTGCCTCCTCCCGAGTACCTGCTGTGCACTCCCTGGCCTCCCTTGCACCTGGCACAGCCACTAAGGGCCTGTTTCCTCTGCAGGTGATGGCGAAGCACTGCTCCTTGAAAGAGGATGGGGCCGTGGGGGCAACCCCCAGTCATGGTGTGCCCCAACTGAACCCCAGCAATTCTGAATCTGGACCCCAACAAAGTGCACAGAGTGACAACCAGGGCCCCCGCCTTGGGGACAGAGCTGAGTGCTACTCCTGGTCGATGCCTTCCCAAGACCTGCAGAGACATGCTGTCCCAGACACCCCCCTGTGCAGGCCTGAGGTTAATGCTGTCTTTAGTGGACATCGGGAGTGTCCCTCACTGGGGGCCACCAAAGATGCCAGGAGTTTCAGAGGAGGACCCTCTGTTGAGGGCCCGCACACACCATTGGACATCTCCAGTGAGAACGAGGAGGAACTTCCCAGTCTCTCCTTCCTCCTGGCCTCCCAGCACCACCTGCTGCCCTTGGGCTTTGCACAGAGCGAGGCCTCTGCTGAAGACCTGCCCTGCCTTGGAGCTGGGAATCCTTGCAGAGCACCAAAACCCCTGTCTACCCACTTAAGGGATCCTAGGGGACCCCTCCCACATGCTGCAAAGTCCAGGAAGCAAGCTCTGCAGGGAGGCCAGGGCCCTGCAATAAAGAAGCCCTGCCCAGTGCCTCAGCTCAGGGCTTCTGGAGGGCAGGCCCAGGCTCTGGGCTCTGTGGGAAACTCCCAGGCTCAGAAGAGGAAACATGACCACTTGGTCACCAGGAGGAGGAAGAAGCACCATTCAGCCCACTAGGTGGCGCCAGGGCTCTGGGAGCAGCTCCTCCAGGTGCAGCCTGAAGCACATGGACCCTAACTCTGCCCTGCACCCAAAGTGCTGACCCTACTGTTCCTCACCACAAAAGGAGCTCTAGGAGCCCCGGGTGGAGGGACCTGGGGCAGGAGTGTGGAATCATCCCTTTGGGACTTTGTTTGTGTAAATAAAGGAAGTTACATTGGAAATCGTCTCTGCTCTGCTGCCCTCTGTCCTGGCGTCAGTGGGGAGAGGACGGTGAGGCAAGACAGACGGGGATGCCTGCTCGTGGCTGCACAGTGGCCTGACCGAAGTCTCCCTCCGGGTTCAAACACTTCTACCCCGGCTGCTAGTGCCCCGCACCATCACCGCCCACACAAGCCCTCATTTGTTCTGGGTCCTCCTGAGCCCTGCTGTCCTTTGTGTCCTATAAATGTCTTCCTGGGAGCTGCTTCTGAGCTGTCAGACGAGGGCCCCAGGAGCAGAGTTCGAGAACTGAGCTTGGAGAGGGCACCCTCCCGAGGGGGCTCCTTTCTGCTCCCTGAAGCAGGCTCCTGGCAGGCCTGGTCCCTCCTCAGTGTGGGTCTGGGGAGGTGGAAAGCGCTGGCTTTGGGAAAAGAGGCTGCGGCATCTGGGGAAATGGTGGCCGACAAACTGAGCAGCACTGATGGCCGCCAAATCCAAGGGCTGTGCTTTCTCAGTCACCAGGGGGGACTGCTCACAGGGGACCTCAGCACTGCAGGAGGTCCTCAACGGCTCTGTGCCCTGGGCAGCACTGGGGGTGGCCCTCACTGGTCCTAACAGGTGGCCCCATGCTGTCCCAGAGGCCGGGAAAAGGGCAGGCCAGCACGAGTCTGCTCATCAGTGTACCACAGGCAGTGGCTGGCACAAGCCTCCTGGCAGACAAGAGAAGGGCTGGCTCCTGGGACACACGGGGGCAGCTGAGGCCCTTCGCAGCCCCTGCAGTTTCTGTGAAGGCGTCCTGGGCTGGGAGGAGAGAACCTGGGCGGCCCCACAGGGGCTCTCAGGACCTGACTCCTACCCTAGACAGGCTCTGCAGTGTCCCCAGACCAGCATGGCCCTGTGAAGGACCTCAGACCCCACTAACTAAGCTCTGTTCCCTGACACCAGCACAGGTGCCTTGTGTGCAAGCCTCTCACTAACTTCAGACAAACATTCATGACTAAGGCTGCCCTGGGCTGGCTCTCATCCTCCCCATCTCAGTCTCCCAAAGGACGAATTCCACCTCTGATGCCAACACCCCTTCCTGCAGTGTCCAGAGATTCTCATTTTCTTCAATTACTGCTGCTTTGGTTGTGAAATCAAGAGAATATAAGGGCACCACTGTAACATAGCGGGTAAAGCTGCCACCTGCAGCACCAGCATTCCATATGGGCGCCGGTTCGAGTCTCAGCTGCTCCACTTCCAATCCAGCTCTCTGCTGAGGTGTGAGAAAGCAGTGGAGGATGGCTCAAGTCCTTGGGCCCCTGCACCCACATGGCAGACCCAGAAGAAGCTCCAGGCACCTTGTTCAGATCAGGACAGCTCCAGTCATTGTGGCCATTTGGGGAGTGATTCAGCAGATGGAAGACCTCTCTGTCTCTGCCTCTGCCTCTTTGTAACTCTGCCTTCAAATAAATAAATAAATAAAGAACTTCAGTAAAAAATTAATAATACTACCCTCACAGCATGAGTTACGAGTGTTCCCGGTTCTTCTTTGGAACAGCTGAAGGGGATTGATATTCATTTGTTAAGAGAAATTGATTTTTTTTTCATTTTATTTGAAAGGTACAAGAGGAAGGGAGAAGAAGAGAGGGAGGGAGATGGAGAAAAGGGAGAGGGAGAAAATACCCCTATGTGCTGCATCACTCCCAAGCTGGCAATGGCCTGGGGCTGGGTTGAGTCCATGCAGTATCTTCCGCTATAATCTGTTATTATGCAAGAGCCCTATTGATGAGGTGGGGAGGTGTTGGAGGGGAGGCATTCTGTAACCTTGTGATTTTACTGAACCTGGGCTACTGTCCTGTGACCTTCACATGACCTCTGAGTAGCCCTCACCCCAACCCATGGTGTGGAAGAAACGCAAGAGCGTGCTGGAGTTTGGCTTTTCTTGTCCACCAAGTCAGTTAGGTGCTGGTAAACCCTCCAAAGAAAACCTCGCGTAAGAGCTGCTGTTGACGGTAGGCTTTTGTAAGCAGGGCTGATGGTCTCTTCACATTTCACAGTCGTCACATGGCCGTCCCTGTCAGAAGCAGGACAGGATCTCCCTCTTATCCACGCACCAAGAGCTTGAGCAGGCTGCTGAGGTAATACTCAGGGAAGCACCCCAGCACCTACGTCCCTCTCTCGTCCTCCAGTCACAGGCCAGGACCCCTTTCCTCACGTCCTGGTTTGGACGCAGCCATGCTCAGTCACGCTACGCCCCAAGCTTTCCCTCCCTGAGGTCCACTGCAGTTCAGTCTTCCCTTTAAACCCCAGCCGTGCTGCTCCTCTACTCGGGAAAGCCCTGGATCCTCTGCACTGTGGGTCCTGAGTGGGACGTCTCACTCCTTCCATAGGCCTGGTGTCCCTGTAGCAGGCACGTTCTGTGAGAGGCAGAATCAGCCTTCTCCCCTGACGGTGCCCCTTAGTGTCCCCCTACACACCTGCTCTTCTCCTGGGATCCCACACTTGAGAGTCCTCCTGCAAGGTCTCCTTTCTGAACAAGGGAACTATATGCTTGACCCCAAGAGAAGGGCGGGCATGGAGAGCATGAGAGATCAGAAGAGCAGCAGGGTGGGTCATTGCTTTCCTCTGCCTCTGCCACACTTGATTTGAGGGTGGGCAGAAGAGCCAAGGGGAAGTGTCAGGCAAGGACACTGGGACACGGGATGAAAGGCGCTGAATGCCCACAGGTCACGTCAAGGCTTTCTGGGAGGCCCTCAGGATAAATGGCAGCAGAAGCCAGGTAAGCACAGTTCTAGGGCTGTGTGGGGTCCAGGTGAACAACGGGCTGGTGTAGGATGGAGCAGATGCTGGGTCTGGGGAAGGAGTGGGCCTTGTGATTCTGTCAACCCAGCCCACTGAGCAGGAGACCCTGGGAAGATGCTGGGGTAGACGCAGTGCCAGCAGATCAGACCCACACTGGCCTGTTTCACCAGTCCCCAGACTTTGGGAAGGTAGCAAACTAGGGGCTCCAGAACCACACTTCCTCCACCCACTGGAGGAGGGTGCGGCTTGTACAAACAAGGTGAGGACACCTGTGTCAGGACCTAGGGTGTCACAGGAAGCCACAGGCAGTTAACAGAGCCAGCCTGCTGCTAGGCACAGGGTGCCAAGTTGGCAGGCACCAGGCAGAGATAGGACCAAAAAGACGCCAGCAAAGAAGAAAAGGTAGAAGCCATTGACAGGGAGAGAAAAGGGGGACTTGGTGCGATCACAATTCGATGGCCTCCGGGTGTCCTCGTCCTCATCCCTGGGACCTGGGACTAAGTGGCTTCATGTGCAGAAAGACTTTGCACACGGGATGGAGCTGGGGGACCTGAGATGGTAGAGGACCCTGGAGTACTCAGGTACCATCCCTGATGTCCTTCTAAGGGGATGGGGCAGCAGGGGGCAGGGGAAGAAGGAAGATGAGGACAGAAGCAGAGGTTGGCTGGATGCACTTTGAGGATGCAGGAATAGGTCACTGGCCAGGGTGTGCTGCAACCCGGAGAAGCTGGAAAGGCGGGAGCGGAATGTGCACGAGGGGCTCACTAGGAACCAGGTGGCCCACACCTGGACTCTGGCCCTCCAGGTCTATTAGTCACTCAGTGTCAGCCACTGGGCTCCCAGGTGGTGCTGACTGGATACTGTGTGCTGGGGAATTCACATCAGGGTCCTCCTGAGGACAGTGCTGTGCCTGTGCTGTCCTGTTGTTCCCTTCTTGGGCTCCCACAGTGAGTGCCCCTCCCCCGCCTTCCTCTCACTGTGCCTCCACCCAGTCTGAGAATGCAGCAGCAGGCCAAACCTGCACAGTGGGTGCTGTCTGCTCCAGGCCATGCAATGAATGCTATGAGCTATGGGGTCCCCAACATCACCCTGGATTTTGTGCTGGTGGGGGAAGCACCAAAGGACCTCAGCAGTCTCCAGGCCCTTGGGGAGCTCCAAGAGGGTAAAGTCCCACTTCTTAGGACCCTATGCAGGGGCAGGTCTGAGACAGGCACTAAGAACAAGTGCAGCTCAGACACAGGGAGATGGACAAGATCTGGAACTGGAGGGCCAGCACTTGTTCAGCATCTGCTGAATGCCAGGCAATGTGCTTAATTTTCTGTAGGAACCTTAAGACCAAGCCCATTTCCAGGTTAGGAAACCTGGCTAAGGTCACAGTGCAGGCGGATGACCGACCACAGACTGCAGCCAGGCCTGTCCTGGCCCACAGTGTGAGCACTGAGTCACTCCGCAGCACGTGTCTCCCCAGAGCTGTGTCTTGGCACTCTGGGTAGGGCGGGTGCAATTCAGGGCAGAGCAGGGAGCCCTGGGGAGGAGTTGGGGACCAGGTCAGGGAGGGGAGGAATCCTGAGTGTTCCCAGACACAGGCAGTGGTGATGGACAGGGTGAAGAAAGAGGAGCAGGGGTGCTTGTCTGGACTCTGAGAAGTCCAGCTCAGCAGTGCCCTGGCCTTGGGAAGGTACAACAGGAAGGCAGGGCTGTATGTGCATGACGGTGTGCCCATCAGGTGCACTGTCAAGGGCACTGGCCCTGAGACACCACAACAGGGCCTTTTCAGGAGAAGGCAGGCGCAGGGCCACGCTGGAGAGGAGGTCCAGCCCTAGCCCTGCACTCAGCAGGCCCCTTGCTCTGCCTGTGGGTGCAGCAGACTCTCAGGAGGGGGCCCAGGTGAGACAGCCTGAAAGAAGCAATGAGGCGTGTAGGGACAGGGAACCAACAGACCTGGAACCTCCTCCCACAAGGAGGGCAGGGAACTGAAGGCCCTCCCTGTAGCTCAGCAAGCTCACTGGGTAGCAATGAAAACTGAGTTACTGGTGCAGGCACTGTATGTAGCACCACCTGCAGTGCTAGCCTTCCTATGGGTGCCAGTTCAAATCCCTGCTACTCTACTTCCCATCCAACCCCCTGCTAATGAGACAGATAAAAGCAGTGGAGTGTGGCCCAAGCACTTGGGCCCCTGCCACCCAGATGGCAGACCCTGATGATGTTCCTGGCTCCTGGCTTCAGCCTGGCCCAGCCCTGGATGTAGTGGCCATGTGGGGAGTGAAAGTGTAGGTGAAAGATCCTCTCTCTGTGTTTCTCCTCTCTCTCTGCAAGTGTGACTTCAGATTAAATAAACAAATCTTTTTATAAAAACTAA